AACACTTAGTGGTGGGGAGTGAGATGGCGTGGCCTGCATATGTCGCTAAATTGTTTAAGTTGAAAAAAATACTAACAGGTTTATAAAATAGCAAATTAAAAATATATACTTTTTACTCACAAAAGTTTCATTTTTACCCCATTTAGGGTAATTTACCCCGGTTCCCCGACCGCTGTTGTACAGTGACTTAGTATGATAATTGGAAAAATCGAAAAAAACAAGTTTGACTGCTCTCATCATAATATTATAAATGACTATAAAAAAAAGATCATTTCGGCTGTTCATTTACGAACTTCAACTATTTGCACCAAATTATTATCTGAATCGACTGGAATTGACTGGGTGCCCGACCCAAATCGGGTGGGTGCCCAACCCAATCGAGTGGGTGACCGGGCGCCCATGGACCCCCCCCCATTGTTGCGCCCCTGCTAGTCACATTATGAAAGTTATTGGAGCTTTTTACATAAACAGTTTCTGCGTCAAATAATAAGTAATTGAGTCTAATAGGGATACAAACAGAAGCACACTCTAAGATTTTTGTTAAACAGCGTAAAGACCATTACTATAAACAGAATCATTTATTTTTTTCTTCTTCATTAAGCTTTGAGGGTTCATGTTTTAATGTTTTATTAACAATTTCAACACTTGTTGTTTTGCGTAGGGCCTCAACCAAACATCTTCAAGGGCACCAAAGTCATATTAACCCTTCTTACTAGACAAACTCAGTTTCTAAAGGATACTAGAAGGTGGGGATTAATTTTATCAAGAAATGCTGGAGATACTCTTATTATGCAGGCCCACATTTCATCTGTTGCTCAGGTGGGGATATGGTCTTGCTCCATTCAGACTGGAATAATAGGAAATAAAGAAATACGAAATGAGTACAAGGTAAAGATTATTGGTCTTAGTTAACTAATATTATACTAACCTTTTAATTCAATTAGGTAACAAAATGAATTTTGATCTTAATTAAATTGTGACTTGTCGTCAATTTCCTTTTCTCTCAATCTCGAACACTATCATTATTATAATAAGAATCACAGACGGTTATTAGGATTAGAAACTAAAATTTTCTGTAGCAAACCATAAACCAACGTTTCGCCGTTTAGTACGAGTCTTTTCAAGGTATATTCCTGGTTACTAAAGATGATCTGATTTTATACACATTCATTTTACAACAAAAAACAAAATATTCGTATACCTTCTAATTAGCTTTGAATTTTATTACATTATTGCCGTTTTAAAGTAAGAATCATAAATCAAAAATATTGTATTAGCAGTATTAAGTTATCATAATATAATTTTCGGAAAAAAAAAATTCAGGAAGGTTAACCCAACAATTTCATTTATTTATGTTGCGACAACAATTACTTTTAAACCAAGAGTTACGATCTAAAATAACTTATATGTTTTATTGAACCAAAAATTTTTCGTGGTTTATATTTATGCAAACAAAGAAAATTTACTGCCTAATTGATTCATCAAGGCCGAGCCAGAACTGCTTGACTACAGGTTTTAATTTTCAAAGAAACATTAAGGAGGTATTTTAAAAGGCGATGAAAAGTAAATACAATTTGGGGAATGACACCGCTTTTCATGAAATTTCGTCTCAAAAACCGAAGGCGTTAAATCGTAAAACTGTGGACTTGAAAACGTAGGTTTTGCCATTTTTTCTAAAATTCCATTTGCAGATGACGAAATTGCTTCTAAGAGTTTGATATCTGAGGAAAATGGATGATTTTTTTAAATCAAATAGTTGAAGGAAGCGAAAGGGTGGATCAAATTTTCTACAAAAAATTATACTTTCAAAATCGTTAAAAAAAAGCCACAAATATTTTAAACATTGAGAAGAAACAAAACAAATATGTTTCACGAAAGATATTGTTTGACTCGACCATATTGTTTCGGTCATAGCGATCGCTATTTAGATTCTAGAGTATACAAAAGATTACTAGATAGATATAAAAATGTGTTTGAACAATATATACTACTACAAGGAACCTGGGGGGGGAGTCGTGGTTACAATTTATATAAAATCAAAGGGGAGTTATGAAACACTAATTTTAGTTAGTTATCAATTAAATTTCAATTATAGTGGACAGCTTTTCTAATTTCTAAATTTTCTAATATATATAGTTTTTTGCTTTTTGGGATGTTATCTTGTGAAATTTTAACCTTATTCATGTTTAAACGCTGATTGTCTTACAGTGTTCGGCAAAATCCATTTGCTATCCTCTTTGTCTACAGCATAATTACGTTCAGAAACGCGTTTTTTTAAAGACCTGCCACTTTGCCCAATATAAATGGTATTACAAGAATTGCATTCTAAACGATGTAAATCACTGTTTTCTGTTAGATAAATGTTCTTCTTATGTTCTCACAATATAGACTTCAAATTCAATGGACTTTTTTTTCTATAATTTTACAGTTACAAGAGTTTTCCATTTGTATTTAAATCTATGACTAACCTAACATCATCATCATCATCATCATAAGGTTCAGTCCTAAGACTGGTTGGACACGCATCTCCACTCTTTCCTATCCTGAGCTAATCTACGCATTTTCCTAAAACTAGAACAACCCATATCCTTAGTAATTTAGTCTAGGTCTACCTTTACCCTTCCTAACTTCCGTTTCTGCCTCTAATATGTCTCTGACCAGACCTTCATGCATGGGAAGATGTCCTACTAACCTATCTGGGCTATTATTACTAACTTTCAGAGAGTCCTCTGTTCTCCTACTCTACTCTACTAGTAATATTTTGTATTGGAATTTTTGGAAAATTAGAAAACAGACTAGTTGGAAGCATGAAAAAAAGCTTTAAAAATAAATAAAGTAAAAAATACTATGAAAGTTTGCTCTGTGCATTTGACAAAAGATTTTATATTATTCAGTAAGTATATACATTAGTGCTACATATAACCTCAGTGTTGTGATATAATTGTTATATCGTTCCTAACGGCATATAAACAAAACGTTTTCTTGCATGAGGAAATTTGTAAAAAATGACCGAAACAATATTGTGGAGGCAATTAAAATCTTTAGTGAAACATGTTAGTTTTCTTTCATCTCTTCGTTTATATACGCTTCACAAAAAGCGTACTACTACTACTACTAAAGTGTAAGTTTTATTTTAAACATTGTTTATCAAGATAATCTACAGTATACATTCTTGTTATAAATTATTCGACAATACGAAATCCCTGCCAAAATAAGCAAATAAATTTTTCAATGTTTTCACTAAAACACGTACGTTTAAGTAAACTATTCTTTCGAAAACTATTTAGGAATCTGAATAAAAATTCCGAATTTGTTTGAGTGAATTTACGGACGTATCAGCAAATAAGGGTGTATAAGTAATATACCTATAACTTACAAAAAAAAAACATAAAAAACCTTTTAGTACACTAATACACCATTTTATAATTGTTTATACAATCAGTTGCATGTAGTATAAAGTATATATTAATCGTAGACTATATCCTGTCAATTTGTGAATTACCTTTAACATATAAGATATAATAGTGTCTTCAACTTTTTAAACATGGAACTTTTTTATCGAAAGCATTAATATATTTCTTATTGATAAGACAATGTTCATAAAAAACGCCTATGTTCGACCGTTTCTTCGTCAACTTAGGTTGCAAAATTTGTCTCCAACAAAAGTCTTTTTATTTTAAATATAGTCTATATTTACCTTGAAAGTCCATTCTAGATATTTGTGAAAGAATTTTTCAAATCAGTTGTATAGTTTCCGAGATTACTTCCTACATGCAAACATACAAAGTAATTAAAAGAATATAAAAGTTATTAAAACAAGAACAAAAATCGTAGGCGGGTTTTATTATCTTCAACAGATGTCAAACTCTTAAATATAATATGAAATATTCTCAATTTTTTACCCACTACACACTTCCTCAAAT